TGTAACTTTACTTGCTCAGCATAGTAGTTTTCATTGTAGTTTGCATATGCATGGCAACTACTAACTAAATGACACATTTCACACTAGTCTGTCATTTAGCCTCAGGCATATTTGGTGGGAGGAGGAGGCCTAGAGCAGAAATCAGCCACATTCTTCATCAAGACACCACAAGAATAAACTCTAGGCCACATATTAATATTATTCTACTCTAACCCTCTTGAGCCAAGTCCCCACAGTTAAAATCACCCTTAATACTGCTGTCTTCCATTTTCCTACTAGTGTGGCCCATTAAACCCTGCTTAAAGTGTCCAATTACTTATCTAGTTCTCAATCCCAAAGTGTTCCATAATCCTCTAGGCAAAAACATGGTCTGACCTATCACAGCAATACCCTAGTCCCTGGTTCCAACTTTGGTCCTAGAGTTTCTATTGCTATGAAGAGAAAAGATGACCATAGAAACTCTTATAAAGGTAAACATTTAATTGGGGCTTGCTTAACAGTTTCTGAGGTTTAGTCCATTGTCGTTGTGGCATGAAGCATGATTGTGTGCAGACAAACACGGTGCTAAGGAAGGAGCTGAGAGTTCTACATCTGGATCAGCAGTCAGCAAGCAGAAAGATATTGCCAAACTCTGGCTGGCTTGAGAATCTGAGACCTCAAAGCCCACCCCCAGTAACATTGTTCCTCAAGCAATGTCATACCTACTCCAGCAAGGCTACACCTTATAGAACTGGCACTCTCCATGAGCCTATGGGGTAATTTTCTTTCACCATATCTTCACAAGTCTGATTTTCCTGCATTCTCTCATTGTACAGTAGGGCTTGGCTTCCTGTTATTGTGTCTCCCTTATCTTCTATCTTCAATGCATTGCGACTCCTCACTATAAACTTGGAAGCTATTGCTTCTGAGTAAAGAGTTCCTCATAGATCTAGGAGCAGTTTCTTCGTAATCTTCCATCTCCCTTCTCTCACGACTTCCTCTGGGCTCCTGAGTGTCATGTTGTCTCTAGACACTGTTGTTGGTTGTTTTCACTATTTACTCTTTTGTTCTCTGGCTCTGGGGGAAGGGGGGGCCACCTAGCTCTCAAGTCAGTACACACAAAGAGACTTATTCTTTCAATGAATGCTATGCCTTAGCTTGACTTGTTTCTTGCCAGCTTTACATAAATTGTCCCATCTACCTTTTGCCTCTGAGCTTTTGCCTTTCTCTATTTCTGCATATCTTTTCTTTCCTTCTTACTCTGGCTGTGTTGGCGAGGTGGCTGGGCCCTCATGTCCTCACCCCTGTGTCACTTGCTCCTCAATCTCTCCTCCAAGATTTCTCCTCCTATTTATTCTCTTTGCCTATGAGCCCTGCCAATCCTTTAGCCTGCCTTGCTGTTGACCGTTCCCATCTTTATTAGACAAGTCAGGTTACTATATTAGACAAAGTAACACAGCTTCACAGAGTTAAACAAATGCGACACAAAAAATGTAACACATCTTTGTGTCATTAAACAAACGCTTTACAGCATCAACAAATATTTAACTATAATCTACAACATGACAATGTGCTTATTAATGTATAAAGGTACAGATATCCTTTCCATCTGGTAACAATGAAACATTGTTCAAGAGAGTTCCCAGGTTGAGCATCTATATGCCAGGTTTTTTGGTTTGTTTGTTTGTTTTGTTTTGTTTTTTGTGTGTGTGTGTTTTTTCGAGACAGGGTTTCTCTGTATTGTTTTGGAGGCTGTCCTGGAACTAGCTCTGTATACCAGGCTGGTCTTGAACTCACAGAGATCCGCCTGCCTCTGCCTCCGGAGTGCTAGGATTAAAGGTGTGAGCCACCAACACCTGGCTTATACCAGGTTTTTTTTTAATTATATAATTTTCTCTCCCTTGCTTAGCTAATGGGAGTTACAAGATCACTAGGAATGAAGAGAGCAGAACAGAAACTTCTTGAATAATACATTTCCAGAAAGTTGGTTGAATCTTATGAGGTTATCTGACTCATTCCTTTACCTGGTGGGTAAAGGGAAAAGCTGCTATTAAACACCTGAGGCATTTGAATATGATAAAAGAAAGATGAGTTGAGTACAAAATCAGTTAGGAGAACATAGTAAGAGAAAAATTAAATAAATGAAAAATTGATGAAGAAAAGTAAAGTCATGACCTATGATGGACCCTTTGAAACACCTGGAGGATTTGACACCAATTACTATAATGTCGGCCTCCCACCTATATCCTATGGAGCCTCCCATATACATAATTTTATTTTGCATGGAAAAGTAGAACCCTCTAAGAGTACTTTTGAGTATTCTATAGGAATTCAAATATCCTTGACCTTAACAAGTGTAAATAGCTTATAATCATAGTATGAGTTGTGATTCGTTTAAAGGCCTTGCAGATCTATTTCACAAAACAGAAATGATAAAAATATCAGAAAACCCTATGCTCACAAACACCCAAAACCCAGATAGATGATCCACTTACAATGTACTTACATAAAATAAATTATGTGTGATGAAGTGATAAATGTATGCCTTTTATTCACATATATGAAAAAGTGTGTCATGCTCCCTCTTTGAGGGATAATAGAACATAAACATTCACTTTTGAATAGTTCTGTTTTTATTACTACAGCTCTATAGTAGAGCTTGATGTCAGGGATGGTGATGTCTCTGGTAGTTCCTTTATTGTACAGGGTTGTTTTGACACTCCTGGGATTTTTGTTTTTCCATATAAAGTTAAGTATTGTTCTTTCAAGGTCTGTGAGAATTGTGCTGGGATTTTGATGGGGATTGCATTGAATTTGTAGATTGCTTTTGGCAAGATTGCTATTTTTACTATGCTGATCCTACCTATCCAAGAGCATGGGAGATCGTTCTATTTTCTGATATTTTCTGTAATTTCTTTCTTTAATAACTCAAAGTTGTTATACAGGTCTTTCACTTGTTTGGTTAAAGTTACCCCAAGATATTTTATCTTCTTTATGGCTACTGTAAAGGGTAATGTTTCTCAGATTTCTTTCTCAACCCGTTTATCATCTATATATTAGTAGGGCTACTGATTTTCTTTTTGAGTTAATCTTGTATCCTCCCACTTTGCTGAAGGTGTATTTCAGCTGTAGGCATTCCCTAATAGAATTTTTCAGGTTACTTATATAAGCTATCATATCATCTGCAAATACTGAAAGTTTTACTTCTTCCTTTCCAATTTTTATATCCCGTTGATCTCCTTTTGTTGTCTTATTGTTCTAGCTAGAACTTCAAGTACAATATTAAAGAGGTATTAAGAGAGTAGACAGCTTTGTCTTGTTCCTGGTTTTAGAGGCAGCGCTGTGAGTTTCTCTTCATTTAGTTTGGCTGTTGACTTGCTGTATATTGCCTTTATCGTGCTTAGGTATGTTCCTGTTATCCCTGGTCTCTCCAAGACCTTTATCATGAAGGGGGTGTTTTGTCAAAGGCTTTTTCAGAATCTAGTGAGCTGATCATTTGGTTTTTCTTTTTCAGTTTGTTTATATAGTGGATTACATTGATGGATTTTTGTATTTTGTACCATCCCTGTATCGCTGGGTTGAAGCCTACTTGACAATGGTGGATGATTTTTCTGATGTGTTCTTGGATTTGATTTGTTAGTATTTTATTGAGGATTTTTTTTTTTTGGTTTTTCGAGACAGGGTTTCTCTGTATTGTTTTGGAGGCTGTTGTTCCAGCCCGGCCTCAAACTCACAGAAGATCCTCCTGCCTCTGCCCCCCCCCAGTGCTGGGATTAAAGGCGTGCGCGACCAACGCCCGGCTCTTTATTGAGGATTTTTGCAACAATGTTCATGAGGGAGATTGGTCTGTAGTTCTCTTTCTTACTTGTGTCTTTGTATGATTTGGGTACCAAGGTAATAGTAACCTCGTAAAAAGAGTTTGGCTGTAAAGTTAACTACAGGGAGATAGATCAATGGGTAAGAATACTTGCTGTTCATGCACCAGTTTCTTGCTTTGAATTTCCAGTGCACACAACAATGTCAGGGAATTCTGTGCACACCCATGGCCTCAGCATAGACAGGGACACAGAGAAAGGAGGATTCTGTGTCTTGCTGGCTGCCAGTCAGGGTCCAGGTTCAGTGAAGGACCTTGACTGAAGGAAGTAAGGCACAGAAATGAAAAAGTAGAGTTGTTTTAATTTATATTTTAATTGTTTGAGAATTCAGTGTGACTACTATGTTTACATCATTCTATCCTGCCTTCTTTCCAGTCCAACTCATCCCATGTCCACCCTTCAATATGTGCTGTCTTCTGTGATAACTATTATAAACAGATGGGTCCATTTAATGTTGCTTATGCCTATGTATGTATTTGAGTGTTTAGTGCTATCAGTTTGGGATTAGATAACTTATGAGGAGGTTTACCCCTGGAGAAAATGCATTCTCCCTCTCTCTACAACCATTTATTGCCTGTAGCTCTTGGTCTATGGTAGCATATCATAGGGGCTGTCATGATGCAGGTCCTATTTGGGGAACTATAGTGAGATTTCACTCACTATATCACCCCTGCTATGTCTTGAAGAAACTATCTAGCAGCATATATCCTGTCCCTCTGGTTCTTATACTCTTTCCACATCTCTACCAAAATGTTCCTGAGTCTTAGGTATAGGAGTTGTCTTGTACACGTACTATTTGGAATCTCACAGTTTGTCCTCTGACCTTCGTATGCAAACTGAGGCATTATCAGTGGTGCCTCCAAAGAGAATACGTGTGAAGATTTGTATTTAATCTTCAATTAGGTAGATTATTTCATGTTGCTTTGGGTCCCCTTGTCTGTAAATGTTCTGTTACTCCTGTCTCTCCAGGTCTTTCCATGGTTTAATTTCCCTTCGAGGGAAGACCCTTCAGCAGCCGCCCCATCATCCTGTCCATTCGATCTAGTCACATGTACTAAGTCCATGCACTTTTACCCACATCAAGCAAGGATGCTGCATAAGCAATAAGCAGTACCATGAGCTGACAGTCACTCTCTGTCCCCCTAGAAATACCTGAACATGATGACAGTGTGTCTTTATCAAAGGAGCAGAAACCACCAGAGCAAGAAATGGAGGTAAGGGGCCCTTTGTTTTCTAAGATAGAAAGGTCACTTTGGTGATCTATGTTTCAGTAGATAGGATATCCCACTGAACAGCAAAACTGAGCAGGGCATCATGGGAATTTGAGAGTTAGTTTAGGAGGAGCATATCATGTATAAAAGTGTGTGTTTTTCCTTAAGGGTCCTCTCCTATTTGTTTCCCCAGCCTATCATCTAGATGGAGTTTTAATTGTTCCCCAAAAGTCTGTGTGGTTGGAAGCTTCATACAGCCAATATTTGAACATTGGGGGTATAATATTATTAAATATGTGCATTCGTGCAAATAATTAGATGTTGTCTCAAAGAGGGAATTAATCTCACAAAACAGGTTGTTTAGGTGGTATGCCATATTGCGATGTAGCTTAGGGAGCCCTCAGTGGAGGCCAAGCAGAAGAGAGGCTCTGCTCTCACTTTGAGTCAGTGTATGTGTGCAATGTATTAGTTTTGTCACAAAACACACAGCCCTGGTTTTCTGTGACATTACCATACAATGTATCAATGCAGTTTGTTTTATGTCTTTTTCCTATCCTGCTTTACACAGCAAAAAAAAAAAGCTGTACAAACGGACTGTATATGACCTGAACCTCAAAGTGTGTTCTTTCCTTTCAATTACAGGTGGAGTGTGGAAACCTCACAGATAGTATGTATTATGGAATCTCTTTCAAGACACATGTTAGATAAGAATTATTTAAATGCTCACTGTATTTTCTACGGTAAACCAATGTGATATTAGACTCCAATTGGGAGTGAAAATTAAAAGTTTAAGAGGAAAAAGCAATGCCCTAAGTAGCCAGTAATACCTATGTGTCTGCAGTCATTACATTCAGCTCTGATAACTTTAGTTATTTTGGCATTTTTGTGCAGGCAGTGTCTAAAAAGATTGTTTTCCAAAATAGTTATCCTTATAATACAATCCACTTTCCAGTGACAAATTTTTCAATTCAAAAGGCAAGATATATATTTTTAATTTATTTTCCATTTTATATATCAATCCCAGTTCCCTTCTCTCCATCCACTCCTCAGATAGAGTAGGCCTTCCTTGGAGGAGTAAACAAAGTCTGGCATACCAAGTTAAGGCAGGATCAAGCCTCTCCCCACTGTATCAAGGATAAACAAGGTGTCCCATCTTAAGGAGCGGGCTCGAAAAATCCAGTTCATGCTCCTAGGATAAGTTCTGGTACCACTGCCAGAACTCCCCCCTCCCCAGCCCCACCAGATCAAGTTTTACCTACAAAAAAAGTGTTCAAACCTCACCATACAGATGTGTGACAGATGTGTTTTCTTGTGCAGCTTTCTGAAGAATCTTAGACCAAATGTAAGGTAATCAGTCTTCGTAGTTATAGAGATCAGGAAGCACTTCCTACTTCATCAAGAGCTCAAGAATCCCTATGTGAGAGTTACAGGTGCCCAGCATCTGCCCGCAATAATCCAGCCCTAGGGAGATGCCAGACGATGTTGAGCCCCACAGTGGGCAGAAGGCAAGGGCATTGCTCTTTACCTGCCTGTGAATGCTCACAAGTACTATAGATGGAAAATCCATAAGTTTGGTCAGATCAGAGAGATTGACTATATGAGACATTACATTGAAAAATAGGTTGGATATATGTGATAACTGGATTTATGGTAGAGACAACCCGTTCCAGTATGAACCGGTGGAAAGGCTTAACAGATTAGACAACATTAACATAAGAGCCATACAATTTATGGGCAAAGTCCACTAAGAACTCCAGACACCTAGTGACTTTTGAGCTTCACTGGGCCTTTATTTTGGATACATACATGCATATATATATATATATATATATGCTGGAGTTTGTATTCCAATATTACTGCTATGACTCACCAGTCTCCATGATGTCTGCTAAGTCTGAGCACTCATTGGAACGATATGTGCAGTAGTGAGTTACTCAGGCAGAGTATGGCTGGGTATCATCATTTTGAAGATGGTGGCTGTGTTTGAGTACCCTCACAGTCAGGATTTGTCAGAGAGGGTCTATGTGAGCAGGAATGTATAGACCAGTTGGTTTAGTGTGTTCCTAGCATGTGCAA